ATGCGATCTGTTGCAACTTGAAAGTAACAAACACGGAAAACTATTTAAGTAACGTTCTTGGTGTGGCTCTCCAAGACAGATGAGCGGTAACTGAGCACACCAAGGGACTTATTCTGGGCGTTGCCAACGATTCTATTTGTTGTTCATAATTTGTTTTATGAGAGTAAATTAATTAATTAATATTATTTATTAAATTAAGTGAAGTGTGTTCCTGATTTAGGCAATATCGTTATGTTCGACAAATAAAGCTAGAATTTGTAATTGTTAATTACTAAAACAATGTAGATACGGCTTCCTCCTCCTTTCACTTGACTAACTTAATTAAATCTTCCTCGGGTGATTGTGGCAGTTTATACATTAAAATCAAATTTGAAAAGGCTGTTTAGTCTTTCATAATTATTTTGGTTGAAAAATGTCATTAATATCTTATTTTAAACCAAGAGAACTCCAGAACATAATCTCTGGACTTGGGCTTAACTCGCAACGTTGAAAATTATCTAAATTACTTCTCCAGCGTTACTGTCAAGTATGACGTCATCAGCCAGCCTGGTGTATCTGGCATTGATGGATAATATATATATTTTTCAATTAAATTTTAAGTGATTATGCATGGTATGAGCCTATTTAAATGCATAGATATGTCATTACTAGTGAATTTATTATAAGGAATATATATTCATTTGTTTATATCGAAATGAAAGATTCTCTCCTGTCCAAGAAGATATTAAAGATAAACACGACTGTAATAAATTGTCTTACGAGGGCCATAAAAAACTCTAAGTCAATATGATATTGAGTTGGCCTCTCGTTGATGGACGGGTGAGGAGAAATAATCATTGACCTGGGTAATGGTGGCTCACACATGTGTCGGATAGTTCCCACACACAGCTTATACCTCCACACCTTTCATTAAAATGTAAAATTCCTGTGGTGAAGATACGTATAATTTTCAGTCTTTTTAATTCAGAACTAAATAAAAACTATGTTGAGAGAATTGATTCTTACAAAATGTTATAAAAAAAATATCCTAAGCTTCAGCAGGAATCACTGCAGAGTCTGTGATAACCTGAAGAGTGAGATACAGCCCAGTATATGCCTCAGTCTCTAGCTAGTTAGTGATGCCATGTATAATGTGAGCAGCTGGTGATGAGGAACTTTTAATGACGCATCACTCTGCCTCTCAGTAAAGGTGGAATTTCTAACGTTTAGGTAAGATGGTGAATCGTCAAGTGGTGAAGCGTCTGCCTTGTAACAGAAGTTGTGGAACCTATGAGTGGTTTTACATCATTATAACAGTAACTGTAGTAGCAGGATGCGTGACGGACTGGGAGGTTCACCGGCTACTGACAAAGCCAAATCGTGCAACAGTACTCTTGCATAATTAACCTGATAGTATCGTTACAAAGATTAAATACATTTATATATTTTCACCTTAAAATGGGTAATATAATGTAAAATATTTTGCATCCAGTCACTACTACCAATTTGTAAAACTCTTTTAATTTAAATGAATCTCCAATTGGTCTGAAATTACAGTAATTTTCAAGCGTATCTTTAGTTAATGATATGCGACCACTAAGTAGTAAAATACGTGAGGAGGATTTTTAGCGGCAGGGACAAGGCCATTTACACCACCAGTCTTCAAGTTATATCTTTGGTCTTCCTGTTTATTTTCACGACAAAATTTGAGAATTAATTGTGTTATCTGGACGACTAAACTTGACCTCCTCTGTATGTTCTTGGTTTGATTTTTTAATTAAAGGTTTAGATATTGGACGGAGAGTTTTGATTTGAGTGGTCTCGTCCTTTGGTACATTCACCTGCTGGACTTAAATACAGCATATATGTATTTCAGGTACAAATGAAGTTCAAATACTACCAAATGGCAAAAGCCTACACTTGAGTCCAGCTCCCAATTTGTTTGTTGGAGCTAGTAATGACATATATAGCATGTGAACATATTGAACGCGTTTTGTACACATGAGGCCAACTGGTCATAGTATGCAATGGAAATGAGCTGCTTCGTATGTTATAGAATTCAAACCAATCTTATATTCCATCGTCATGATAGGCTGGTTAAGCTAAATCTGGTTGGGTAGTATTTGTTATCATTAACAACTATATTGTACACAAACTACGGATACCGGGTTCTCTAGGATTCTAAAAGATTTTGAGTAATTGATTACCATAATACACTAATAAAACAAAAATATTAACAAAGGGTAGTACAGTTGTTAATTCACATGAAGGTGGTGTATAGATGACCTCGGCTTTACCTAACGATAAGACAAGCAGAGGTAAACAGTCAGTTTTGACAACAAGTACGTACAAATATATGGATGCTTCTTCTTACCTAAAAAGTAGTATTTTATAGGACAAGAAAAGTAAACAGAGCAGGTAGACACGACTTCACCACAGATGATGGAGTGTTAAACACCCTTGGGTGGAAGGGGGCCTCGGCAACTCCTCTCCACTGCGTGTTTACAAACTCCAATAATGTTTGTATATAGAGTCTCTTTGTGGAAGCTACACATCCAAAGCATCAACATGTACTTCACTAAACTTGCAAGGGGGTAATTATAAAGAGGCCATCATGACCGCTTGTGATGCGTTCCTTACAATTCCACCTAAATATTTAATGTACAGCAGTTAACAGAACACATTCTTTTGTACTGGTTTCAAACTGTTTGAAATTGTATGGGCATTCTCGTAAACAACTTTCAAGTAATCTGAAAACTTTATTTCACTATTCTCAGTATATGCAAGTATACTCTTAAACAAGTTTTAAGTAGCATATTCTTTGCTAGATATGAAATTATCCAAATACAAAATTTTACAGCTTTAAGGTGAAAGGTACAGTCCACTTCACTAGCGCATTCACAGAGGCACGTCATGTAAACATTCCACAAATTATTATCTTTGAGATATTTGTTTTAATTTGATTCCACAGTATGTTTACTATTGTTAGTTTCCTTCTGTCGAATGTAAACAAACACAGGGCGGCCACACTACACAAAACCTGACAAGCCCCTGTAAATGCACTAGTGAAGGGGACTGTACAGTACATCATTTTATTTTACAACACAGTTCTATCTTTAATTGTTGTTGGACTAGTGCATTACTAATCTTGTTACGTGCTTAAAGACCTTCGTTGTTGAAATACGATTATAACATTATAACATCAACAATCTTTTACAGGTTTCAAGTTATCCAAATATTCGTCTATAGGCTTTTAGTTATCCGAACATACCGACACTGGTGTTGATGACAGGTGAATGGATTTGGGATAATTTATGGTAGTTTATGCTAATGGTACTCGCTGTCGCCACTCAGGACACAGGTCGTTGTTAATCTTCATAAGCCAACTCCAGGTGTGTGTGTGTGTGTGTGTGTGTGTGTGTGTGTGTGTGTGTGTGTGTGTGTGTGTTTGTGTGTATTTGTGTGTGTGTGTGTGTGTGTGTGTGTGTTTGTGTGTGTGTGTGTGTGGGTGTGTGTGTGTGTGTGTGTGTATTTAATGTGTGTGTGTGTGTGTGTGTGTGTGTGTGTGTGTGTGTGTGTGTGTAAGTGTTTTGTGTGTATGTGTGTGTGTGTAAGTGTTTGTGTGTATTTAAGTGTGTGTGTGTGGGTGTGTGTGTGTGTGTGTGTGTATGTGTGTATGTAAGCGTGCGTGCGTGCGTGTGTGTATTCGTATAGCACCTTGAGCAAGTCAGACCTGCTCATGTACTGTGGCATGTCGTATGTAATCCTATCCGGTCCAGGACTAATATTTCTACAGAATTTCAAAGCACAATCGAGTGCATCTTCCGAAAACTCACGGTTACAATCCCCCAATCGCCATCAAAGGACACTTCTTCTCAGTTCTTGCCCTCTCGAGAGTGAACTGAGGATCGTAATTCATGGAGCTTCTAACTCTCGTGAAGCCTTCTTATCCTTTCTCCGATATCTTATGAGTCGAGTATTCTCCGGTTTAATATCGTAGTCAGCAGTACTAGGTCCATCCGGTACTGGAATGGGTTTTGTACTCCATCTCTTGGTCTTGGTCTTCCCTCTTCCCGCTACGTGGGGAGTGGGGTGGAGTTTTATAGCCCACGTGGTGCTGGAGTTTGGGTAGTGAAACACCATCCCTTGTAATTGTTAAGAAAAAGGAGTATTTCGTTTGTCACTATCTTCAAAAAGATCGGCTATCGGTCCCTTTCCGGGTTATTGATTCACTTGACTCAACCTTTGCCTGCGACTCGCAGACAGAGAGCCTCTGTTGTGCAAAGGAAGGGAACACCTTAACTTTAACTAGCTTCACCACGTCTTCTAAGACGCCCCTTTGTGGCACTGCCCGCAGGGTTTGGCTTGCACTAATGATTTAAGTGAGATACTAGGCGCTAGCAATTGGAACTGAAGTAGTTGATTATGCTGTCGCCGTCGCAAGTGAATGAATGTAAGTTGGATATAACCCGACGAGTTAGATGAACAAACAGTCAGTATGATGTTTTAATTTTCGAAAGACACATTAACGTCAAAACATGGAAATTAAATAATGTAAATGATAACAGACTCTATAAAACCTTATGTTCTTATTCTGATAGAAGTCTTACAGGGGGTTGGGAGGAGCTAGAGACAAGAGGGTTCAATCCTGTAATTGTTCAAAGTTCTCGCACGTTATACCATTTATGTCATCGTTCCGGCAAACAACGCCTGTTAAATATAATTACCATTAAGCTATCTCATCTGATACTGGCTAAAAGTTAAACTATCAAGTTTATCTTAAATTTGACTGAAAGTAAAGGAATAGTCTTTAACTTTATTTTTAAGGTGGTTGAGGTCATTTACAAATTCCTTTTATTATACAGTAAGCTTCAGAAGATATTGAGGGATATTTTAGAAAATTTGTTTTTGGTTACTAATACACAAGCTGTATTCAGGATGAATAAATTGGTGAGGAGACATACTCCTTAAATTTCGTATGAAAACATTTGTTTACCTTATTTTTTCTTTCTTCTTTTCAGAAAGTCTATGAAGATGACGTGGTGTTCTACAAGAAAACTGATGACGGAGAGCTACTTCGATGTGTGGCTCGACTTCGGTTTTCGGTGTCTCCCGAGGCGTCTGGATCCCTAACTGGGCTGAAATGTAATCCAGCTACCAGGGACTTATGGAAGAATGACATAATAAGCAGGATGGGTGCTAGTTCATCTGTAGATGCATCCGGGTTTACATGCAAAGATGTGTATCCAGCCCCGTGGTGGCCTCAGAGCTGGGACGATAAAATTGCTAACTGCCGAAAGTTAGACGTCTCTTCTTCATCATCCTCTTCGTTTTCGAGCAGTTTTGCCTCATTCGGTGAGTCTAAATCAGATGACTGTTATTGTCTGGAGTCTAATAGTGAAGACTGTTACTGTTTGTCCAAACCGACACCAAACTCTATGAAGCCCTTGGATTGTCTATGTGAAGACTCTATCTCCTCGAGTATTGACTGCCTTTGCGAACCAAGTAGTAGTAGCAGCTTCTCCTCGAGTATTGACTGTCTTTGTGAGCCAAGTAGTAGTAGCAGCTTCTCCTCGAGTATTGACTGTCTTTGTGAGCCAAGTAGTAGTAGCAGCTTCTCCTCAAGTATTGACTGTCTTTGTGAGCCAAGTAGTAGTAGCAGCTTCTCCTCGAGTATTGACTGTCTTTGTGAACCAAGTAGTAGCAGCTATTCCTCGGGCATTGATTGTCTCTGCGAACCAAGCTATAGCTTTTCCTCCTCTTCCTCAAGTTCAAGTTATTCATCAAGTTCCAGCGATTCTTCCCCACTAAGTCTCAGTAGTTCTTCCCCATTGTTAAGTTCAAGTAGTTCATCCTCTTCAAGTTCAAGTAGTTCATCCTCTTCAAGTTCAAGTAGTTCATCCTCTTCAAGTTCAAGTAGTTCATCTTCTTTAAGTTCAAGTAGATCTTCAAGTTCAAGTAGTTCATGTTCTTCAAGTTCAAGTAGTTCATCCTCTTCAAGTTCAAGTAGTTCATCCTCTTCAAGTTCAAGTAGTTCATCCTCTTCAAGTTCAAGTAGTTCATCCTCTTCAAGTTCAAGTAGTTCATCCTCTTCAAGTTCAAGTAGTTCACCATCGTCCAGCTCAAGCAGTTCATCATCATCATCTTCTAGTTGTTCTTCAAGTTCAAGTAGTTCATCCTCTTCAAGTTCAAGTAGTTCATCCTCTTCAAGTTCAAGTAGTTCATCCTCTTCAAGTTCAAGTAGTTCATCCTCTTCAAGTTCGAGTAGTTCACCATCGTCCAGCTCAAGCAGTTCATCATCATCATCTTCTAGTTGTTCTTCAAGTTCAAGCAGTTCTTCATCATGTTCGTCTGAATGTTCGATCGTAATATCGTCATCATCGAGTCATAGTTCTTCACACGTGGATTACGTCTCGAGTTCTTCTTCAAGCTCAATAGTCAAATCGGTATCAAGTTCAGAAAGCAGTTCATCAATTGTTCATTCAGTATCAAGTAGTCCTTCAAGTTCATCAATTGTTCATTCAATATCGAGTAGCCCTTCAAGTTCACCAATTGTTCATTCAATATCAAGTGGTCCTTCAAGTTCATCAATTGTTCATTCAATATCAAGTAGTCCTTCAAGTTCACCAATTGTTCATTCAGTATCAAGTTGTTCCTCAAGCTCATCCGCTGTCCACTCATTCTCAAGTTGTTCCTCCAGTTGTTCCTCAAGTTCAAGTTCGTCCAGCTGTGAGTATTGTTCCCTTAGTTTAGTTGTTTGACTTCTCTTTCTCCAAACCTAACCTAACCTAACCTAACCTAACCTAACCTAACCTGACCTGACCTGACCTGACCTAACCTGACCTAGCCATACACAGCTTGACCTAGGAAACAATACTTCAAGAGTTTGGGTGTTGGGGATACAGGATATTGCTGCATGTAACAAAATTAGATGTCCTTTGTCTTAGATGCAAAGTGTACTTAGCTGTATTTATTGCAGAAATTTAATCACTTTGCTGATTTTCATGTAAGTAGTAATTATTTTGTATACTATTTACACGGTGTTTCTCAAATGGACACTTTTATCAGTCTTACAGTCGAGGAATAGATATCTGAAATATTGAAAGTGACTTGACATGAATTACAGTCTATATTGATATTAAGAAAGTTATCATGATACTAAAGAACCATCTTCTTAATTTGTAATGTGTGTGTGTGTGTGTGTGCAGCCTCCAGTTCGTCTGTTTCATCACCCAGCAGCTCTGGTTCAAGTAAGTGCTAATTTCGTCTTTCTTATCACGCCATCAACACTATGTTACGTTTTAGAGGAAATTGTTGATATTATGATAAGGAAAGTTGTAAATAATTATGGCAAAACGATCGAAGAAATTATTATATTCGTCCGTGTACCATTAAAGAAGTTGGAGTTCATGCATAAGGAATATGAATTATATTAAAACCTTCCCAAATATAATCTTCGGTGTTCTTTTATTATTGGCGTTAAACTAGAAGTAAGTTTTTGTTTCCATATGTCCGTTTATATAACAGACAGCCAAATTTTATCGGATAATTCATCCAATTTCTCAAGAAAATACTATAAACTCAGCGTAATGATAACACTACAACATATTTGAACGTTGTGTAAAAAAAAAAATCAAAATGTATCCTTTTGTTTGGTCCTCTTGTTGAAACTGATAAGAGAATTGCATACTTAGCAGCTAAGTCACTATTATTTATATAAATATATATAAATATATATATATATATAATCATCGACCTCACCAATCAGGACTCGAACCCTCGACCTACTGTGTGGGACCAGGGAACGCTACCAACCATGCCACAAAGACACTTTGTGGCATGGTCTGTAGCGTTCCCTGGTCCCACACAGTAGGTCTAGGGTTCGAGTCCTGGCTGGTGAGGTCGTTGATTATATGTTCAAAGTCCGCGTGTTATATGGACTAAAAATGAAGTATATATATATATATATATATATATATATATATATATATATATATATATATATATATATATATATATATATATATATATATATATATATATATATTTCATTAGCGTGTGTGTGTGTGTGACTGCTTAATAACAAAGGTGGGATATGCAAATATTCATATGTAGTTAACGAATAAGTCCTTTGAATAGATGCGTCGGCATCCCAAGAATACAAGGTTCTATTCCCGAGTACGGAAAAATTGACAAGCAACTCAAGTTTCGAGAATCTCATCAAACTCAAACAGCTTAGCAAGTTCAAGTTAATCATTGAGTTCGAGACTTTATTAGTTCAAGAATCTCAGCAAGTTCAAGTAACTCATGAAGCTCGAAAAGCTTATTATTTGCTTCAGCATCTTTTAAAATTGAGCAAGTACACCAAAGATCTCTACGACGTTGTGAAAAATAGAGAAGATATTAATATTTTCGGATTTTTTAAGTCTTCTGCAATGGTCATCATACTTCCTAGTTCTTGGTGTCTGCTAAACCTATAGTAACAGAGTTCTACTAATTATTCGGATATCTTACAAAACTATACTGTAAGTTATGTAAACCTTGTAAATAATTTTTTCTTCGTGTTCAGCAAGAATAACTTACATAATCACAGTCTGGGTTGTTAATAATGATTTAGATGAGTGGAAAGTCATCAAGTAAACTCTCTAAAATTAATTTACTTTTCCCTTCAATTGAATGTATTTGTTTAAAAAATTATGTCTTTTTTAAATTTTTCGGCTTGGTTCAACTTCAGAGTTGACCCAAAGTGCAGGCAGCTCTTCTTCAAGTACCATCAGCTCCCCCCTGGACTGTCTCTGCGAGGAGAGTTCAAGTAAGTGGAAAGTGGATGAGAGGATATGAAAATAAACATACAAGATTTCCCCAAATTTCACAAACAAGAAATTTATGGTTACTTAAAAAGTCTTTGCTAAATATTGCAGTAGTAATGTATCAATTATATTATACTTTATAATCGTATTTGGGTATTTGAAACTAGAGTAAATTGAAGGAGACCAATGCAGTAGAAAAAATAATAATAATTCACTGGAAATCACATTCCGAAGTGAGAACTGTACATTAACATTTTTGAGGGTGTTACTGAAGACAAATCTGTGGTCAAGAGAAGCTTCTATTTTTTTCAAGATGGTGTACATCTTTGAAATATTTTGCAGGCTCATCAAGTCTGAGCAGTTCACCAAGTGCAAGCAGCTCTCCAGGTGCAAGCAGCTCACCAAGTGCAAGCAGCTCACCAAGTGCAAGCAGCTCACCGAGTGCAAGCAGCTCACCGAGTGCAAGCAGCTCACCGAGTGCAAGCAGCTCACCAAGTGCAAGCAGCTCACCAAGTGCAAGCAGCTCTCTAGGTGCGATAAGCTCAAGTGCAACAAGCAGCTCACCAAGTGCAAGCAGCTCACCAAGTGCAAGCAGCTCACCAAGTGCAAGCAGCTCACCGAGTGCAAGCAGTTCACCGAGTGCAAGCAGCTCTCTAGGTGCGATAAGCTCAAGTGCAACAAGCAGCTCACCAAGTGTAAGCAGCTCACCAAGTGCAAGCAGCTCACCGAGTGCAAGTAGCTCACCGAGTGCAAGCAGCTCACCAAGTGCAAGCAGCTCACCAAGTGCAAGCAGCTCACCAAGTGCAAGCAGCTGTTCAAGTCTGAGTAGCTCATCATCAGTATCATCCTCCAGTAAGATAACATGATTTACTAAATGTTTCTTTTGCGGTATGAAAAAATAAAACGCATGCAAACCTCATCAACTCCTCCAGGGAGTACCACTGACCCAGGGATCAGGGTCAGTGGTACTGTAAAGGAATTATGTTAAAGAATGTGTGAAATAGGTTGTCTTCTTCAGTAGGTTTATCTCTTTTCAGTAATTCAGGCTTTAAGTAGATTCCTATTTCAGTAAATTGTGGATATGTTCAAAGAGTATGTCAAGCTTAGGTAGGTTTATATATTTGAACATCTCTACAAAAATTTATCGTTATTGGAAAGTCAGCAGACAAACTGAACATAATTTTTTAATCACAAACGCCACAGAATTTATACGTAAATATATTATATCCGACGCCTTATGAGTACAAACCCCTTTAGAGTTTTAATTTAAATCTGCTCAATGATTTATACAGATTCCCAACATGCGCCAAGTTCAAGCAGTTCGACCATATCTACAAGCAGCAGCAACTCCCTCGACTGTCTGTGTATCGGTGAGCCAAGTTCAAGTAAGTTATCAGAATACAGAAGACTACTGTGAAACAACTACTACATTTTCAAGAGATATTGAAAACCAATGTCAAGATAGTATTTTGTGGGCAAATTATTAAGTCAACTGTAATTTGCGTTAAAATAAGTTGTTTTGCTATCGAAAAAATTGGCAAGATATCAATTAGTCTAAAATTTCTAAATTAGATTAATGTTATATCTAATAAATATTTGAAAGAAAAATATTGAACCGAATTTATACTTTAGTAGATGACTGAACAAACATTTAGAAGTAGCAAAACTGCCAAGCTGAAGTAATTTAGGGTCCTAACGCAACTTTCCCCACTGAAAAACTGTCAACAAGCTCGCACGAATCATCCACGTCAAGCAATTAATTTACTCAAGTAGTCAAGAATTAATCAACCGAAGCACTTACATACATGGAGCTCATCAAGTCAAAGGGTCGTTCAAGTGTGTGTTGTTTCTCAAGCTTACGTCATTTGTAAGCTTGAAATTATTTCCCATTATGGTGTCCAGCGTGATTTTTTGCCTGTATTTTTCTCTGATATGCTGAAAAACATCAAATCACTGTCATGTGAAAGTCTACTCTAGCACTCACATCTAGAACCAATATTTAAGAAATTCTCATAGCTTATTGATAAATTTCCGGTGAAAAATAAAGTAAATAGTCATAAAAGATATCAAGTGAAAACAAACATATTATCGACCAATACCGCCTTGTGAACGTCGCCTCATTAACTGACTCGTCTTTTTTTTAATATTCTACAAAATGAAGGTCGTAATATCACATACAAATTTGGAAGCTATGACCCTGAAGTATTACTTTTAGCTTGGAGTTTTTGTTCAATATTTTAGTACGCACTAACTTTAGTATTACTTTTGCTATAACTACTGTAGTGTTAATATGCAGTTTATTTTATTTCAAAACACACATTGTATTCTTACGATATTATACAAATTTTGAATAAAGAAAATAAATATCCTCATTAGAAATTAGATGTTTCAACGAATGTAAAAGCTAACATTTAACTTTCATTTTTATTTTTAAATACTAGATGATTATTTTGACCTGTACATTTGTATAGTAATAATTTTTAAATTATTCTATAAACTTTTACCTGTCAATTTGCTCCCATCTATGCTATTGTGTCTTACATTTGTCTGAATTTATAGAATATTTATAGAATAATAAGCATCTTAAAATTTTTTACCCCCTATTAAAATTATATATACACACAAACTTGATTAAGTCACTACACGACAGTATTATCAGAATCATTATTTGAATTGATTAGTTATACTCTCTATATTCTATCAATATTGTAACTTTATTACACTCTCCTTTTAACCTTCTCTTTAGGCTTAAGTTCGTCAAGCTTAGGAGGTCCATCAAGAAGTTCAAGCAGCTCGTCAAGCTTCTCATCTCAAAGTAGCAGCAGCTCGTCAAGCTTCTCATCTCCAAGTAGCAGCAGCTCGTTAAGCTTCTCATCTCCAAGTAGCAGCAGTTCGTCAAGCTTCTCATCTCCAAGTAGCAGCAGCTCGTCAAGCTTTTCATCTCCAAGTAGCAGCAGCTCGTTAAGCTTTTCATCTCCAAGTAGCAGCAGTTCGTCAAGCTTCTCATCTCCAACTAGCAGCAGCTCGTCAAACTTCTCTCCAAGTAGCAGCAGCTCGTCAAGCTTTTCATCTCCAAGCAGCAGCAGCTCGTCAAGCTTCGCATCTCTAAGTAGCAGCAGCTCGTCAAGCTTACAGGGTCCATCAAGTAGTTCAAGCACCTCGTCAAGCTTTTCATCTCCAAGTAGCAGCAGCTCGTCAAGCTTCTCATCTCCAAGTAGCAGCATCTCGTCAAGCTTAGGAAGTCCATCAAGTAGTTCAAGCAGATCATCAAGCTTTACATCTACAAGTTGCAGCAGCTCGTCAAGCTCTTCATCTTCAAGTAGTAGCAGCACGTCAAGCTTCTCTCCAAGTAGCAGCAGCTCGTCAAGCTTTTCATCTCCAAGTAGCAGCAGCTCGTCAAGCTTCGCATCTTCAAGTAGCAGCAGCTCGTCAAGCTTACAAGGTCCATCAAGTATTTCAAGCACCTCGTCAAGCTTTTCATCTCCAAATAGCAGCAGCTCGTCAAGCTTCTCATCACCAAGTAGCAGCATCTCGTCAAGCATAGGAAATCCATCAAGTAGTTCAAGGAGCTCGTCAAGCTTCTCATCTTCAAGAAGCAGCAGCTCGTCAAGCTTCTCATCTCCAAGTAGCAGCAGCTCGTCAAGCTTCTCATCTCCAAATAGCAGCAGCTCGTCAAGCTTCTCTTCTCCTAGTAGCTGCAGCACTTCAAGCTTACCAGGTCAATCATGCAGTTCTAGCAGTTCGTCAAGCTTTTCATCTACAAGTAGCAGCAGCTCGTCAAGCTTCTCATCTCCAAGTAGCAGCAGCTCGTCAAACTTCCGAGGTCCATCATGTAGTTCAAGCAGCTCGTCAAGCTTTTCATCTACAAGTAGCAGTTGCTCGTCAAGCTTCTCATCTCCAAGTAGCAGCAGCTCGTCAAGCTTCTCATCTCCAAGTAGCAGCAGCTCGTCGAGCTTAGGTGGTCCATCAAGTAGTTCAAGCACCTCGTCAAGCTTTTCTTCTCCAAGTAGCAGCAGCTCGTCAAGCTTGCAAGTTCCATCAAGTAGTTCAAGCACCTCGTCAAGCTGTTCATCTCCAAGTAGCAGCAGCTCGTCAAGCTTCTCATCTCCAAGTAGCAGCAGCTCGTCAAGCTTAGGAGGTTCATCAAGTAGTTCAAGCACCTCGTCAAGCTTTTCTTCTCCAAGTAGCAGCAGCTCGTCAAGCTTAGGAGGTTCATCAAGTAGTTCAAGCACCTCGTCAAGCTTTTCTTCTCCAAGTAGCAGCAGCTCGTCAAGCTTGCAAGTTCCATCAAGTAGTTCAAGCACCTCGTCAAGCTGTTCATCTCCAAGTAGCAGCAGCTCGTCAAGCTTCTCATCTCCAAGTAGCAGCAGCTCGTCAAGCTTAGGAGGTTCATCAAGTAGTTCAAGCACCTCGTCAAGCTTTTCTTCTCCAAGTAGCAGCAGCTCGTCAAGCTTAGGAGGTTCATCAAGTAGTTCAAGCACCTCGTCAAGCTTTTCTTCTCCAAGTAGCAGCAGCTCTTCAAGCTTACAAAGTCCATCACGTAGTTCAAGCACCTCGTCAAGCTTTTCATCTCCAAGTAGCATCAGCTCGTCAAGCTTCTCATCTCCAAGTAGCAGCAGCTCGTCAAGCTTCTCATCTCCAAGTAGCAGCAGCTCGTCAAGCTTAGGAGATTCATCAAGTAGTTCAAGCACCTCGTCAAGCTTTTCTTCTCCAAGTAACAGCAGCTCGTCAAGCTTGCAAGTTCCATCAAGTAGTTCAAGCACCTCGTCAAGCTGTTCATCTCCAAGTAGCAGCAGCTCGTCAAGCTTCTCATCTCCAAGTAGCAGCAGCTCGTCAAGCTTCTCATCACCAAGTAGCAGCATCTCGTCAAGCATAGGAAATCCATCAAGTAGTTCAAGGAGCTCGTCAAGCTTCTCATCTTCAAGAAGCAGCAGCTCGTCAAGCTTCTCATCTCCAAGTAGCAGCAGCTCATTAAGCTTCTCATCTCCAAATAGCAGCAGCTCATTAAAGCTTCTCTTCTCTAGTAGCTGCAGCACTTGCAGCACTTCAAGCTTACCAGGTCAATCATGCAGTTCTAGCAGTTCGTCCAAGCTTTTCATCTACAAGTAGCAGCAGCTCGTCGGCTTCTCATCTCCAAAAGTAGCAGCAGCTCGTCAAACTTCCGAGGTCCATCATGTAGTTCAAGCAATGTCTGAAGCTGTCTACAAGTAGCAGTTGCTCGTCAAGCTTCTCATCTCCCAGAAGTAGCAACTTAGCTCGTCCAAGCTTCATCCCAAGTAGCAGCGGCTCGTCGAGGCTTAGGTGGTCCATCAAGTAGTTCAAGCACCTCGTCAAGCTTTTCTTCTCCAAGTAGCAGCAGCTCGTCAAGCTTGCAAGTTCCATCAAGTAGTTCAAGCACCTCGTCAAGCTGTTCATCTCCAAGTAGCAGCAGCTCGTCAAGCTTCTCATCTCCAAGTAGCAGCAGCTCGTCAAGCTTAGGAGGTTCATCAAGTAGTTCAAGCACCTCGTCAAGCTTTTCTTCTCCAAGTAGCAGCAGCTCGTCAAGCTTAGGAGGTTCATCAAGTAGTTCAAGCACCTCGTCAAGCTTTTCTTCTCCAAGTAGCAGCAGCTCGTCAAGCTTGCAAGTTCCATCAAGTAGTTCAAGCACCTCGTCAAGCTGTTCATCTCCAAGTAGCAGCAGCTCGTCAAGCTTCTCATCTCCAAGTAGCAGCAGCTCGTCAAGCTTAGGAGGTTCATCAAGTAGTTCAAGCACCTCGTCAAGCTTTTCTTCTCCAAGTAGCAGCAGCTCGTCAAGCTTAGGAGGTTCATCAAGTAGTTCAAGCACCTCGTCAAGCTTTTCTTCTCCAAGTAGCAGCAGCTCTTCAAGCTTACAAAGTCCATCACGTAGTTCAAGCACCTCGTCAAGCTTTTCATCTCCAAGTAGCATCAGCTCGTCAAGCTTCTCATCTCCAAGTAGCAGCAGCTCGTCAAGCTTCTCATCTCCAAGTAGCAGCAGCTCGTCAAGCTTAGGAGATTCATCAAGTAGTTCAAGCACCTCGTCAAGCTTTTCTTCTCCAAGTAACAGCAGCTCGTCAAGCTTGCAAGTTCCATCAAGTAGTTCAAGCACCTCGTCAAGCTGTTCATCTCCAAGTAGCAGCAGCTCGTCAAGCTTCTCATCTCCAAGTAGCAGCAGCTCGTCAAGCTTCTCATCACCAAGTAGCAGCATCTCGTCAAGCATAGGAAATCCATCAAGTAGTTCAAGGAGCTCGTCAAGCTTCTCATCTTCAAGAAGCAGCAGCTCGTCAAGCTTCTCATCTCCAAGTAGCAGCAGCTCGTCAAGCTTCTCATCTCCAAATAGCAGCAGCTCGTCAAGCTTCTCTTCTCCTAGTAGCTGCAGCACTTCAAGCTTACCAGGTCAATCATGCAGTTCTAGCAGTTCGTCAAGCTTTTCATCTACAAGTAGCAGCAGCTCGTCAAGCTTCTCATCTCCAAGTAGCAGCAGCTCGTCAAACTTCCGAGGTCCATCATGTAGTTCAAGCAGCTCGTCAAGCTTTTCATCTACAAGTAGCAGTTGCTCGTCAAGCTTCTCATCTCCAAGTAGCAGCAGCTCGTCAAGCTTCTCATCTCCAAGTAGCAGCAGCTCGTCGAGCTTAGGTGGTCCATCAAGTAGTTCAAGCACCTCGTCAAGCTTTTCTTCTCCAAGTAGCAGCAGCTCGTCAAGCTTGCAAGTTCCATCAAGTAGTTCAAGCACCTCGTCAAGCTGTTCATCTCCAAGTAGCAGCAGCTCGTCAAGCTTCTCATCTCCAAGTAGCAGCAGCTCGTCAAGCTTAGGAGGTTCATCAAGTAGTTCAAGCACCTCGTCAAGCTTTTCTTCTCCAAGTAGCAGCAGCTCGTCAAGCTTAGGAGGTTCATCAAGTAGTTCAAGCACCTCGTCAAGCTTTTCTTCTCCAAGTAGCAGCAGCTCGTCAAGCTTGCAAGTTCCATCAAGTAGTTCAAGCACCTCGTCAAGCTGTTCATCTCCAAGTAGCAGCAGCTCGTCAAGCTTCTCATCTCCAAGTAGCAGCAGCTCGTCAAGCTTAGGAGGTTCATCAAGTAGTTCAAGCACCTCGTCAAGCTTTTCTTCTCCAAGTAGCAGCAGCTCGTCAAGCTTAGGAGGTTCATCAAGTAGTTCAAGCACCTCGTCAAGCTTTTCTTCTCCAAGTAGCAGCAGCTCTTCAAGCTTACAAAGTCCATCACGTAGTTCAAGCACCTCGTCAAGCTTTTCATCTCCAAGTAGCATCAGCTCGTCAAGCTTCTCATCTCCAAGTAGCAGCAGCTCGTCAAGCTTCTCATCTCCAAGTAGCAGCAGCTCGTCAAGCTTAGGAGATTCATCAAGTAGTTCAAGCACCTCGTCAAGCTTTTCTTCTCCAAGTAACAGCAGCTCGTCAAGCTTGCAAGTTCCATCAAGTAGTTCAAGCACCTCGTCAAGCTGTTCATCTCCAAGTAGCAGCAGCTCGTCAAGCTTCTCATCTCCAAGTAGCAGCAGCTCGTCAAGCTTAGGAGGTTTCATCAAGTAGTTCAAAAGCACCTCGTCAAGCTTTCTTCTCCAAGTAGCAGCAACTCGTCCCATGACTTAGGAGGTTATCCAAGTAGTTCAGCACCTCGTCAAAGCTTTTCTTCTCCAAGTAGCAACAGCTCGTCAAGCTTACCAAGTTCCATCACGTAGTTTCAGCACCTCGTCAAGCTGTTCATCTCCAAGTAGCAGCAGCTCATCAAAGCTACTCATCTCCAAGTAGCAGCAGCTCGTCAAGCAAGGAGGTTCATCAAGTAGTTCAAGCACCTCGTCAAGCTTTTCTTCTCCAAGTAGCAGCAGCTCGTCAAGCTTAGGAGGTTCATCAAGTAGTTCAAGCACCTCTTCAAGTTTTTCTTCTCCAAGTAGCAGCAGCTCGTCAAGCTTACAAGGTCCATCACGTAGTTCAAGCACCTCGTCAAGCTTTTCATCTCCAAGTAGCAGCAGCTCGTCAAGCTTTTCATCTCCAAGTAGCAGCATCTCGTCAAGCTTAGGAAGTCCATCAAGTAGTTCAAGCAGCTCATCAAGCTTTTCATCTACAAGTTGTAGCAGCTCGTCAAGCTTCTCATCTCCAAGTAGCAGCAGCTCGTCAAGCTTCTCATCTCCAAGTAGCAGCAGCTCGTCAAGCTTACAAGGTCCATCAATTAGTTCAAGCACCTCGTCAAGCTTTTCTTCTCCAAGTAGCAGCAGCTCGTCAAGGTTTTCATCTTCACGTAGTAGCAGCTCGTCAAGCTTCTCTGCAAGTAGCAGCAGCTCGTCAAGCTTTTCATCGCCAAGTAGCACCAGCTCGTCAAGCTTCTCATCTCCAAGTAGCAGCAGCTCGTCGAGCTTAGGTGGTCCATCAAGTAGTTCAAGCACCCCGTCAAGCTTCTCATCTACAAGTAGCAGCAGCTTGTCAAGCTTTTCATCTCCAAGTAGCATAAGCTCGTCAAGCTTCTCATCTCCAAGCAGCAGTAGCTCGTCAAGCTTCTCATCTCCAAGTATCAGTATCTCGTCAAGCTTACAAGTTCCATCAAGTAGTTCAAGCACCTCGTCAAGCTTTTCATCTCCAAGTAGCAGCAGCTCGTCAAGCTTCTCATCTCCAAGTAGCAGCAGCTCGTCAAGCTTCTCATCTCCAAGTAGCAGCAGCTCGTCAAGCTTAGGAAGTCCATCAAGTAGTTCAAGCAGCTCATCAAGCTTTTCATCTACAAGTAGCAGCAGCTCGTCAAGCTTCTCATCTCCAAGTAGCAGCAGCTTGTCAAGCTTAGGAAGTCCATCAAGTTGTTCAAGCACCTCGTCAAGCTTTTCATCTCCAAGTAGCAGCAGCTCGTCAAGCTTCTCATCTCCAAGTAGCAGTAGCTCGTCAAGCTTCTCATCTCCAAGTAGCAGCAGCTCGTCAAGTTTCTCATCTCCAAGTAGCAGCAGCTCGTCAAGCTTAGGAGGTTCATCAACTAGTTCAAGCACCTCGTCAAGCTTCTCATCAAACAGCAGCACCTCGGGGTCAAGTAAGTCAAACGTGAAATATGAAAAAGAGAAGGAGGGCTATATGGGTTGTCCACAGCTAGTACCGGCCAGTGTGTTTTTATTTATCATTGGAAATTCAGTTGGTTCATTTCGACTAAAATTCCCATAATTCTTGGAAACATTCAAACGAAAAATTCATGGCTGAAGTATTATCACCTTATTGCACTTAACTATAAACTTCAATGCTTAATTTACTTACCACAAGAAGCGTTTATTCTGACTATATACCTGACCCGGCAACTGATTCATTCCTCCCTGGTGACTAACCATTTTTAAGTTCAGCGTTAAGCTTGTCATTTCTTGTTAAGTTCCAGGGCTCTCGATAGTGTTCATAGTAAAAGTTATCTTCATCAGCATTATTACTGATGATTTTTCTTTAGATTAAACTTTCTTATGGACTGGTGAACTAATTCGTGAATCAGAAATAGCATTTATAGTTGTAGCTATTGATATACAAACTATGTATTTGGGGTAATGATATATTTTCAATGTTAACTTCTAATTCAGCTTGTAGGTCCAGACAGAGCAATGAATCTGTGTATGGTTACTTGTGTGAACCTTGAAGACATACACCGGCTTTACCAAAACAATAATGCTCAAAAATATATTTCCTTTACTCTACCGTTATAAAAGTCTTTCATAAAACGATTTTTCAGTTTATTTTACAAATTTTACCGGTATCAGACCAATTTGCTTTTTCTTGTATTATGTTTTTCCCTTCTTCAGTTAAAATTTGTTCTTCATATCTTATCTTGTACTTTATATTATACTTATAAAAGTTGTCATTGTGGATGATTCATGCACCACAAGGATATTCCTGTATCCTCATTTCATTGTTATTTGGTTAATTTTTTTACGGAGACATTCAACTCATTATCGAAGATGTTAATGGTTCTCAAGCTGACACGGCCTTAGATTTTTTTTTATTGCCATTTATTCAGGCTTCAGTGCTCTATCTCGTAGTTCAACTATGTTATCAAGCTCAAGCAACCAATCAAGCTCACGCAGCTAATCAAGCTCAAGCAGACAATCAAGCTCAAGCAGACAATCAATTATGCCCAGCTTATTCCATTCTAGCAGTTCAACAAGTTCATACAGATTGTCAAAGTCAAGCAGTATATCAAGCAGAAGTAAGTTACGATTTGAAAATAGAAATGAGAGGTATGATGACTTTGGGTGGGTTCATCACTTTATTTAAATTTAATGCGTATATGCTGTATTTCGTGTTCATCTTTTATAGTCACCAAGATTGCGTTTGAAATGTTATCCTTGGTTTCGTCCGTCCCTGATAATCCCACAGTCCCCTGTGTAGTCACAATTCACTGACGCCATTTATTTGAACAGAGTACTGAGACTTAAATACAGAAATGACAAGCATTTAGTTTTTTTTTTAATCATGTGGACTTTATTTGTAGCATGTGATCAAATGCGAGTTTCCTCCATTAATGTCGTCTGACTGACAATTGGACCAGTTCACGGAATGTATCAGAAACATGACAACAATTACCGTGACGCAAGAAAACGACAGTAGTTCGCCAAAAGCAAGATATAAAAAACGCACAATCGTTGGGTCCTTTGTGTTCCAGTCCAATAAAATGCTCAAGTTTCCAATATATTTGCATATATAACAAGATTCTTGAACCGTCAAAATCAAAGTAAAGCCAAAACTGCTATGGACACCTTCAATTTCCATATTCTACATAATTCCCAATCTGAGATTTTTCAAAAATTTTACACAGGTTCAGACTTCAAGTCAAGTTCAATCAGTTCGGCCTTAGAATACAGCAGCAGCAGCAGCAGCAGCAGCAGCAGCAGCAGCAGCAGCAGCAGCAGCACCAGCACCAGCAGCAGTAGCAGCACCAGCAGTTGTTCCAAAGAAGTCTCCGGAGTCGACATAAATGGTTGCACGCGCAGCAGCATTTCAAGTTATAGTAAGTCATATATACAGAGATAGAAGACTACTGTGAAACTATTAATGACTATCGAAGACGCCTTTCATATCATGATGCAAACACATCGTTGTCGTCGAGTTCTGTTATAAAGACTATGCGTGAAGCCAAAGAAGCTTCATTACTTACTTTTATCTAGAGTAAGGAAAGTTTTATCATTTGGACTGACATTTCATACCAATTTCACCATTTGTATTACAGTACTCGGCTTAATTTCACTTCAAATTTAAGAAAACATTTAAACATAGCTAATTGATTGACTAGATAAGCGCTTTAATACCTAAAAAAAATCGTTCATTTAATTAGTTTATCTGTATTTCTTGTAATTTGGGTGATTTTACATTTTACCCAAATTTGTCGATAAATGTGAATTTTGACAATTTACACAGGCTCAAGTTCTTCAAGCTTACGAGGTCCATCGAGTAGTTCAAGAAGCTCGTCAAGCTCTTTATTATCCCCAAGCATCAGTATCCCAAGCTCAAGTAAGTGACAAGTAAGAAATGGATAAAACTTAGGAAGACAAGAAGACATGGACTGGCATATTCTGAAGTTCTCTTGCTAAAAAATAATATTACCAAGACCAATATCTTTATTACATCTGTAGAAATACGTCCAACAGTACCTAACGCGGTGGTGGTGGTGACTTCTTGTATCAAGCTACAAACTTTTATGCCAAAGATTATGAATTCTTACAGTTGAATGTTATGTCCTTGATGTTTGACGTGAAGCAAGGGGTTAAATGTGAACGTTTGAAGACGCCATATTTTCACTCGCCACACCGAGCCGCTGACTTGTGTTTTTTAGACTGACAAAAAATATTAATTACAAGAGAAAAACCGACGACATAAGTGTGTGTGTGTTTGTCTGTGTTTGTGTGTATATACAACTAATATAAAAGTATATTTAGTCCTTTACCTTACTGTTAGCTCTCGATGATAACTTATTTTGTGGTTCACAATAAGGTTGCAGTACAAGTAGCTTTAATTAGAACCCCGAACAGGTGGTGCTTCAAGTTCAAGTAAATTATCATCCAGTTCAAGCTTCTCAACATCTTAAGGTATTTAAGTTCTATACTGATTTCTAAATTTGTTGTTGCTGTTATAATGTTATTACTGCGCTTCAACAGAGACAGTCATTAAGCGCGTAACAAGGTCAGTAATTACACCATCCCAACGATACCTTAAAAATAATGCGATAAAATTCCCTATTTAATAAGTTTGTGCTTTATAGGTCTTAGTCATCACTTAAGACTGTTTATTTATTTCAAGTCACTTTTTCATCTACGACATTTCCTCAATAAAATCAAAACCCTCTTCGATAACATTTCATATTATTTACACTAGAACAGTAACTTAATGTATTTTACGATGACGTCAATATTGTTCTAAGATTAATTATATACAAAAATCCCAGTGTCGGTATTTTTAACGCATAAACGCGCACATCAGCTCATAAACACACAAACTGATACACTCTTTTACACACACAAACCTTGTGCTCCTCCCTCTACCTTCCCCAACCCTACCTCCTTACCCCTTCCCACCCCTCTACCTCCCCCACCCCCTCTACCTTCCCCCCCCCTACCCTCCCTCTACCTTCCCCACCCTCTACCCTCCCCACCCCTTTACCTTCCCCACCCCTCCAATCACTTACTGTCTTAAATTCTCTCTTTAAAGCTGTACAGTATCACACGTGTTCCGCTATGGCGCTCCACTTATAAACCGCTGCGTATCCTCTTTGTTCTGTCACTTCATATAATCCAGAGTGTCACATCAGCAGCCTGTCCATTCCTCCCGTCTAACCTTACTTTTGTTTACATTCAATACTGTATTAACCGACTCCTGTGACTTACTCCAAAATATGCTGTTATCTGCTATGCACGGCTGATTCATTTTCCATCTCACCTTCTACTGCTGTCAATCAAACCTCTTTTCCTCACCATCATCGTTGCTTTCTCCTCTTTCACTACTTTATCCGAAAATTCAACAACTACAGTGACATTACACATTTTTTGTCGTAATATCTTCTTCACTGGAAATCTTTTTTCTTTCCCTACATTCTGTAAATCAGGGTTTCATTGTCTTTAAAAAAATCTCTTAGAGAAATCAACAGTAACCCCATTATTCTATACGTTTTCAATACTTCCTGCAATGCTTTTCTTTAAGTCATCATATGCATTCACTACATCGATAAATACATCATCCTAAGTCTTCACATTCTTCAGGTAATCTTCATTCACACTTTTTTACACACACGATCCAGGCAATTCACTTCTTTTTTTTTCGTTATACAAAATCTGATCATCTTTAACACACTTGCTAAATAAATAAGTTATGTTAGTAATCATTATCACACACCTTCCCATATGTGCTTAAATAAACACCTATTCTTCTCTAATGTTTACTTAAAGTCTTGTAATTGTTTCTCTTGTACACGTCTATGCCATTCCGTTAGTGTTTTCCCCCTTTGTCACCCTCAATTCTTTACCTCTTTTCATTAACATTTATCGTGATCCCATTCTCTTACTCATTTTTAACTTGCTGCACCTTTCTCCCACTTGTTTTATTTTTTCCTTTGTCGTTACACTCGAGTGGCTATCTCCTTCCTGACCTAAACAGGGAAATAACATCTTCTTTATATTACATTAAGCAGGTGTGCAAAAAAACACACCATCTTTAGTTTACCTCCATTTTTTTCAGTTTGTCCACATTTTCATTTCTAACTTCCATTTTTTCTTTATCCTCTCGTTTTTTTATGCAATGTCCTTCTTTTCTGTATAGTTTTTCTTCATAATTTTGTCTCATCCTTTTCCCCATCTTTCATCCTCTCGTCTTTTGGATCCTTTCTCCATTACTGTATTTCCTTTCTTCTAATATCCATGCATTACTTTCTACTGTCATCATTTCTCATTGTTGCCAAAGTTCATACATATTTTTTTTAGTTACAAATTTTTCATCTTATTTTCCCTCTATCTCGCTTGTACCTTCCTTCCACTTCCCTGTCACCCATTCATTCTCGCCCTTTTACTCTCTCAAATACCATTTTAATCCCGAATCATAGTAATCTGGATTGACCTCTTTATATTTCATTACGTATCTCATCTCATCATTCAACACCTGATTATCCTCTTTTGCTGATCATCTTTCTGGTAATCCTGCTTCACTAAACTTCTCCTCTGTCCCTCAATTTTTATTTGTTCAAAAGCCTTAACGTACAGATCTTGTTTTCCATCTTTTATATCTACAGTCATTTTTTACTTATCATTTACAGTATATCCACGTAAATTCATATACTCCAGTCTGCTTTGCGTTTGTTTGGTCAAGGAAACAAAACATAGAAAATAGGGTTACAAGCCCCATGTGGCACAGTAATGCGGATATTATATAGATATATAGAATGTATAATGTATATATAAATATTAATTCAACTAATTTGTATTTATTTTTCAATCACCTTTAGGCTCTAGTTCTTCAAGCAGCATTAGCAGCAGCAGCAGTAGCAGCAGCAGCAGCAGCAGCTCAAGTAAGTAACATAAAACTCGAAAATGTACTTTAATTATTAGTCACGCTGTTTAAGGATAATCATCAGATTAAGCCTCAGAACGTAATGTACTCTCTAGTTTCTATACTATAATCTACTGGTAATAGGTGTGTTTATGTTGACTGTTTCAGCGGTGTCCATTTTCATTAAAAAACTAACTTTTACCCAAACTAATATCAGATAGCTCTTGTCTATGGAGATTAGGTTTGGAGTCGTACAGTTAAGCTAGTTAGTTACGATTAAGTTCTTCGTTTATAATTATGATTTTATACAGTTTAAATTTTCGAGAAAAAATTGGTATCGCTTTGCCTTAGTTATCTCTTTAGTTTCACTATTTTTTTTTTCAATTGCAGTTCTCGATCGTATAATCCCATTCCAGTAAAAACCCTCCGACTTATTCAGATTTATGACGATATGTTTTATGTGTACAGTATACCTAAAACGTCCTTTAAAACCAGATTTCAAAATAGTTTCTTCTGACGTGGGTACTAAAAATTTCCTATGACACCTTAGAAATAGCCAGCCTTCGATGACAGACTAGGGTTGCCTCACACATTGTTACTTTGTGTCACGACCACCCTCTTACACGCTACTCAAAAATAACTATTATCATATAGAATAACTTATACTGTGATGAGATGAGTTGAGATATATGTTAGATATAATGTTATCTATATACCTCAGACAGTTAATCAGCAATGGTCTGTTTTCTACAGGTTCCAGCTGCTCTGCCAGCAGCTCATCAAGTACGTGTATCGTGTTTTAACATTGTTTGTCATAGACTGATAGTAAGAGATGCTTTAATGTTGTTATTTTATATTTTTGTAAATGTGTGTGCGTGCGTGCGTGCGTGCGCGTGCGTGTGTGTGTGTCTGTAATAGTAATAATAATAATAATAATAATAATAATAATAATAATAATAGTAATAATAATTAAGGTTTATTGAAAGAAGAAGGTCGACAAAAGTCTGAAAATATGCAATAAACAGTCTGTGTCTGTGTGTTGTTGTGATTCAAACGAAGCTTGATATTGTAGTTTACTTTACTTCGATGTGATTTGATAAGTAAGTTCAATTCTTTCATGTATTTTCAGGTTCAAGCTCAAGCAGCTCAAGCTCCAGCAGTGAGTATTAGCTTTGTATTTGCTCGCAGTAGTGATGACATTTAATCTGATTATCACTGCCTTGGAAGTTACAGTCACAGCAGTACGTGTCATCGAGAGAAAGCAACGGTGATAAGAGTCAACAATTCTTCCTTGCCAGTGATATGTCGAGAAGGAAGTTTGTATTTTTTTTAAAGAACTGCATATTTGTTTTCTACTCTGAGAAAACCCATAACCTACGATAAGGAATGAAAAAAGGAGATAAGGCAAATACGACTGATATACAGTAAACTAAAATGTGTGAATGTCATGTATGTTATAAAAAATGTGTTGTAGGCTCTGGTCTGAAGACGTATTTGTTCCCATTTGACGTATAATGGAGGCCGTGAACATCGTAATTCTGACAAAAATAGCGGATTCAAAATTACCTCTTCTTTTAAATAGGAGAAATAAGGGTTTTGGATCACTTACAGTTTGAAAAGAAAATATCGCCTGGCTTCAACAATTTCAATGGCTGAACTACAAATAGATGTTAACTCATCTATTAACATCCTACTTGTATTTTTTTTTGTATTGGAAAATATATACCGAATATTATTTTTTTTGTAAGGAAACTCTCAACAATGACATATGTTTTTAATACCTCAACACTTTCATATCTAACAGATGGTTGTATTACACTAGTAAAGTTATTGAAGAAAATTCTGTTCGTCTGCTGCTCGATTCATTATTTTGTTTATAAATCGGTTAAAACTGCATACACCTGTTATCGAAGAAGAACTTACCCTTAAATTGGCATAGACACATTCTCCTCTATTCAGGTGAGGAGAGTGCAGGGGTGATCTAATTGAAAGTGTTTGTGTTTGGGGTAAATACAATGCTATTGAGATCTGTCAGGCTAAGCTGAGCGGCTCTTCCACTCTACCTTCCCGTAACGTTCGTCTTAAATGACACTCTTATGGAAATATGTGGTTATATACAGTAATTTATTAAATATTTATTATTATCCATTGCCTTATATATTTAGTGTCATTTGGCTTGATATACATAATAATTAGTGAAAAAAGAAGTAATAGTTGATTTACTCGGAATGTGTTCGCCGAAAGCGTGATTTAGTTTGTGACTTCGACGGTAAATGATCTTTACTTCAAACTTTTTTTTACTTATATCTGGAAAGTTAATGTTTTCAAGTAGCTATAGCCTTAAATGCATTAAATGTGACATTAAGGAGCGCCAGAACTGGGTATCCTTAACTGTTATATATGGAATATTTGCAATATATAAATATTAATCGAACATTATGTATAAGCCAACGAGCTATAAGGGGAGGGGAGAGGGTGGGACTCTTAGCCTAGAACCGCCAGCTAAAAAAAAAATCGAAGTTAACTTTATTCTTGGGTGATAGCTACAATCATTATCAGGGCTGAAAATTATATTAGTAGTAATTAGTATGATGAGAATATGTCTTGTGATCAAATTTGATATCTTAAATGAAGGTCCAGTAGTTTGAAGCTTCATAAAGAAATGTATATAATGGTTTGCTTTTCCAAATAGCTTTCACTTTATAGGAGCAAAATGTATATTATTCTAAGGCGTTCATTTTCCTGTATCGTGATCAATTTCAGCGCACTTACATGTAAAAGCTAAAGAAATATTGAGTCTCAACAAAATAACCACTTAATTTAACGAAGTATATGTCTCATATTTTATAGGTTCCAGTAGCTCAAGTTCCAGCAGTTCAAGCTTATGTAGTTCAAGTTCAAGCATTTCATGTTCCAGTATGTCAAGTTCCAGTAGCTCTAGTTCCAGATGTTCAAGTTCCTGTAGTTTAAGCTCAAGTAGCTCAAGATCAAGTAGATCAAGCTCAATCAGTTCAAGCTCAAGTAGCTCGAATTCAAGTAGTACAAGTTCTAGCAGCTTAAGCTCGAGTAGTTCAAGCTCAAGCAGCCCATGCTTTAGCTGTTCAAGCCTTAGCAGTTCAAGCTCAAGCAGTTCAAGCTCAAGCAGTTCAAGCTCAATCAGCTCGAGTTCAAGCAGTTCCAGTATTAGCAGCTCAAGTAGGTTAATTACGGGTTTTGTATATTGGTCAACTTCACAATGTAAAATAAGAACAAAGCTCTTTTATATATCATCGTACTGGTAGTCATAGAGCAATAATCATAGATACTGTCTTTCTGTTCGTTCTTCCGTTATTTAGAAAGTAAAAATTTTCCCTGAACTGTAGACGAATGTAATCCTTTAATATCGAGAGCAACAGTTAGATACTTCAGTGATAGACCGTCTATATATTTCATAAGATGTATTGGCTTCTTAAATATTATCATTTCTCCATGTTAAAACATATAATAGCTGGTATTACGATTTCATATACCTTTAACCATAGTCAGTCTTTAAAAACCGACGAAGAGGGGAGCATCATCATAAATGGCAAACTAATGTAACAAATTTTAATTAAATAATCATATTTTGTAGGCTGCAGTAGCTCAAGTTCCAGTAGTACATGCTCAAGTAGTTTAAGCTCAAGTAGTTCAATCTCTAGAAGCTCAAGTTCCAGTAGTTCAAGCTGTAGTTGCTCAAGCAGTTCAAGCTCATGTTCAAGCCGTTCTAGTTCTGGCAGTTCAAGTAAGTAAAACAAGACTTATTTTACTTACCCTTAAAGAAACATACAAGTATTTGCCTAATGCCCATTCTTACAAGACAAATGTGAACTTTCCTGGATAATTATTCAGTGCAACAAAAAATTTTCGGTTTCATCTTTTCTGTTAAGTGCATTACTATTTTTTTTTCGCATAAAAATGCATTAATAATTTTAATGGGATTGTTGGGAGTGTTGCTTGTTGAGACATTTTTCTTCCAGCTACCACCATTAGCTCCTTTGCCTAAAAATTCTGCTCCTCTTCACTGATTTAAATTTCCAGGAAAAAGTAGGATATTTAAGACTTTCATTAACTTATGCTGTGATTGATTTCAGCGCAGTTACATATAATAAATGAAGAAAGTTTTATGTATATATATATTTTGTATAATTCCGGATATACGACTTACCAATGTATGTCATATTTTAAAGGTTTCAGTAGCTCAACTTCCAGTAGTTCAAGCTCATGTTCCAGGAGTTTAAGCTTGAGTAGCTCAAGCTCAACCAGTTCATGCTCAAGTAGTTCAAGCTCAAAAAGCTCAAGGTCATACAGCTCAAGCTCAAGCAGTTCAAGCTCAAGAAGCGCAACCTCAAGCAGTTCAAGTTCAACCTCTAGTAGTTCTTGCTCAAGCAGTTCAAGTTCAAGTAGCATAAGTAGTTCAAGGTCTACCAGCTCAAGCTCTACCAGCTCAAGCTCTACCAGCTCAAGCTCTAGTAGTTCATGCACAAGCAGTTCAAGCTCAAGCAGTTTAAGCTCAAGCAGTTCAAGCTCTAGCAGTTTAAGCTCAAGCAGTTCAATCTTTAGCTGCTCAAGCTTAAGGAGTTCAAGCTCAAGCAGCTCAAGCTCAAGCAGTTCAAGTTCAACCTCTAGTAGTTCTTGCTCAAGCAGTTCAAGTAGCATAAGTAGTTCAAGCTGTAGCAGCTCAAGTTCTAGTAGTTCCTGCTCAAGCAGTTCAACCTGTAGTAGTTTATGCTCAAGCAGCTCGACCTCAAGTACTTTCAGTTCCAGCAGCTCAAGTAGGTTAATCATTGTTTTTTTAATTGCTCAGTTTCACAATGCAAAATAGGATTTGAGTTATTTCATATCCAGCTCTATTATCCGTAAAGAAATAATATCTTTCAACTTTCATATAAGTGATGTGTTACATAACTTTTGTTTTACATCATCTTCTTGTAGATTCTTGGTTGTAGGTCTGGCTACTTTCATAATTCTAGAGTTACAATTATCGCCACACAAGCTCACGTGTTATATCTACAGTATAATGATCTCTTCTTCTGCATTGGAAGATATTGACATGTAATATTGTGAGAAAAAAATATTTAATAACAAAATCTCTAATCAAATTATTTATGAAGAAAAGTATGCACACATGGGCTCTACAACCCATTACATAGATACTGTAATGTAGGAACAAATATTATATTTTACAATTTTCATGTAGGCCTACCTGTATTATAATCGGTCTCAACACATATAATAATGAAGTGATGGTATATTCTACTTATAGCAACAGTCTTCAACAATAAGTACGTCTCATATTTCATAGGTTCCAGCAGCTCAAACTCCATTAGTTCAAGCTCCAGCAGTTCAAGATCTGGTATTTCAAGCTCCAGCAGCTCTAGTAGTTCAAGCTCTAGTAGTTCAAGCTCCAGTAGTTCAAGCTCCAGAAGTTCATTCTCTAGCAGCTCAAGCTTGTGCAGTTCAAGCTCTAGTAGCTCAAGCACTCGCAGTTCAAGCTCCAGTAGCTCAAGCTCCAGCAGATCAAGCTCCGGCAGCTCAAGCTTAAGTAGTTCAAGCTCCAGTAGCTCATATTCCATCAGCTCAAGCTCCTGTAGCTCAAGCTTAAGTAGTTCAAGATCAAATAGTCCAAGATCAAGCAGTTCAAGCTCAAGCAGCCCAAGCTCAAGTAGTTCAAGTTCAAGCCGCTCAGACTCTACTAGTTCAAGCTCCAGTAGCTCAAGCTCCAGTAGCTTAAGCCCCAGTAGCTCAAGCTCTAGTAGTTTAAGTTCTATTAATTCAAGCCTCAGCAGTTCATGCTCAAGTAGTTCAAGCACTAGTAGCTCAAGTTCTAGTTCTTTAAGTTGCAGCAGCTCAAGTTCATTTAAATCTCCCTGTAGCAGCTCTAGCAACAGTCGAATAAGTAAATATATTCATTTTACTTCGATTTTTCTCTTTTATTAAAAATTTATTTAATTAACTTCACTAAAGTCTATAGCTATGTGAAAAATGCATCTGTTATATACGCTAAGATGAAGTGGTTGGTCAGATCAGTTCCTATTAATTGCCTAGAAGTTAATTATGATTATTTTGTATTTTTTTTTGTCTAGTCATGATTATGCTAAGTAGTATGGTATGATAAATTATTTGGTTTCAGTTAAGCATTAGCAGATACATCTGATAAATTCTAAAGTATTATATTGCTCTGATCATTAGACTAACACAATCATTTCATCACGGGAGCTAGAGGAAGATTCCATGAAATCGAAACATTAAGGTTAAGAATATTCTGTGTATTGTCCGTGGATGGTAAAGTTTGGTGACAGGACTTTAATATATTTCAACTGATATTATGGCTTTTTTCAATATATTTGAATCTAAATGCTTAAATCATATAATTATTTTTGCGTAGTATTCCATATAATCATACACAAAAATCGCTTTATACATACGTGTTTAAAAACTAAGGAATAAGGGACCATCATTACACACATGAAAATAATGTAACAAATCTTAATATAATACCCATGTGTTTTAGGTTCCAGTAGCTCAAGTTCCAGTTGTGCAAGCTCTAGCGGTTTAAGTTCTAGCAGTTCAAGCTCAAGTAGCTCCAGCTTAAGTAGTTCGAGCTCAAGATGTAGTTGCTCAAGAAGTTCAAGCTCAAGCAGCTCCAGTTCAAGTAGTTCGAGCTCAAGCTGTAGTAGTTCAAGCTCAAGCAGTTCAAGTTCAAGCAGTTCATGCTCAAGTACTTCAATCTTGAGCAGCTCAGGTTCAAGTAGTTTGAGCTCAAGCTGTAGTAGTTCAAGCACAGGCAGTTTAAGTTCAAGCAGTTCAAGTTCAAGCAGTTCATGCTCAAGTACTTTAAGCTCGAGCAGCTCCAGTTCAAGTAGTTCGAGCTCAAGTAGTTTATGTTCAAGCGGTTCTAGTTCTAGCAGCTCAAGTAAGTCAGTTAAGAGTTCTTAATTCCTAAATTTATCAATGTTATCTGGGAACTAAATTTCTTTGTATTTTCTAGTGTTATCCGTGTAGAAAGTACCCTACAGTACCATAGAGACACTTCAATTTTGCTCGTTCGTCCTTAACAAAAGTGGATTTTTCTGGATTATGATTCAAAGATCAATAATTAATTGGTTTTAGCTGGAGTGTGAAAGTGTATTACTCTTCAGCTTTTTGTTACTGTATATTATGATAGGAGTTGGAGGGATTTGTGTTAGAAATATTGATGATATTGCCGGACGTGATATTATTTACTTTGTTTTTATTAATAATTACCATCATTGACACGGGTATGCTAAATCCAAAGCCTTTTCTTCTCAAGGATAGAAGATATTTGTATCCATCAGCGATAAGAGCGCAGTATATCTTACTCATCAAATTAATACCTTCCTCGTAGATCCACATGAAATAGTTTCGAAATTCTTGAGAAATCATATATAGTATATGAAGATTTTGCTTATGATTTATATTTACAGGAACAAACATGTGTTATGTTAAGGATTTACTTTATCGGTTTCATCGTACTTGTAATCAATATGTAAAAGTTTGAATTTTAAAAATAGGAAAATACTTTAACCAAGTAAATATCTCATATATTATAGGTTCCAGTAGCTACAGCTCAAGCTCTAGCAGTTCAAGCTCTAGCAGGTCAGGCTCTAGTAGTTCAAGCTCAAGCAGCTCAAGTCCAAGCAGCACAAGTTCCAGTAGCTCAAGTTCAAGTAGCTCAAGTTCCAGTAGTTCAAGTTCCAGTAGTTCAAGTTCCAGTAGTTTAAGCTCAAGTAGCTCTAGCAGTTCAAGTTCTAGTAGCATAAGTTCCAGTAGCTTAAGCTCAAGTAGCTCAAGCATCTCAAGCTCAAGCATCTCAAGCTCAAGCAGTTCAAGCTTAAGTAGCTCAAGCATTGCAAGTTCAAGCAGTTCAAGCTCAAGCAGTTCCAGTTCCAGCAGCTCAAGTAGGTTAATTATGGTTTTAGAGTTGCAAATATCACCAGTCAAGGCTCTAGTTTTCTTAGTTGGAAGATATTGACATACATTAGTCCGAGGAAATATAACGTAAAACCCTTTTTTTTATTCAATTATATTGTTTACGCAGCAAAAAGAAGCGAAACAAATGAAATTGGTCAAAGGATTGTATATACCCATATGTTAATCAGTTTTAACACGCATATATAATAACTAAACAAGGGATGATCGATTTAACTAATAGATACCAACAAAATATGTAATATTAGATATATATTTTATAGGATCCAGCAGTTCCGGCTCAAGTAGTTCAAGTTACAGTAGCTCAAGTTCCAGTAGCTCAATTTCCAGAAGCTCAAGCTCCAGTAGTTCAAGTTCCATCTGCTCAAGTCTCAGTAGCCCAAGTTCCAGTAGCCCAAGTTCCAGTAGCCCAAGTTCCAGTAGCTCAAGTTCCAGTAGTTCAAGTTCCATCTGCTCAAGTCTCAGTAGCCCAAGTTCCAGTAGCCCAAGTTCCAGTAGCCCAAGTTCCAGTAGCTCAAGTTCCAGTAGCTCAAGTTCCAGTAGATTAAACTCCATTAGCTCAAGCTGCAGTAGCCCAAGTTCCAGTAGCGCAAGTTCCAGTAGCCCAAGTTCCAGTAGCTCAAGTCCCAGTAGCTCAAGTCCCAGTAGCTCAAATCCCAGTAGTTCAAGTTCCGGCCGCTCAAGTTCCAGTAGCAGCTCCAGCACCAGTATAATAAGTAAACATTTTCATTTCAGTTAAATTTTAGCCTCTTTAATGTAAGAAATAAATTTAATTAACTTTGTGAAGATCTACTATTGTGCACAGTAAAGGGGGGAAATAAGTCAGTCAGATAAATTTGTCTTCTTTACTAAAGATATTACGTATTATCATTTTGGTTTCGTCAATCTGTAACATTGTTATCCTAAGCAGTATTATTTAATAATTCTTTTAACACCGTAAGCTAATGTATTAACACATACTTAAGATGTTTCCATTGTAAGTGAGTTTCTACCGAAGATCACTCTAATACAATGCTATCAGTACGAGGTCTGTAGGACGGTTGGTATTCTCAGAACAATGAGTTTTAGATCTGCGGGCGTGTGTGTGTGTGTGTGTGTACACGATCAACTGTAAAGATATTGTGATAAAGAATTAATTTTTATCTTGGTATTAAATTTTGTGAAATAATGATTTCTCATAAACAAGTGATTTGAGTTGAGCTACATTATTGATAATGAAGGTATTATCAGGTTGTAAAATGTATTACTAAAAATATAGCGATGGTAATAATAGTAAGAGAAAAAAGAAGCTGTCATCAGAATATGCTGTACGGCATAAAGAATTGAGGTGAACAATAGGTAAGGCAGAAAGACTTTTTATTATTATTCGGTAACATTCTCATTTTATCATTCCTTAATAACCAAAATGGTAATAAAAGCGCGGGTGTTGTAACTGTGAGAAACTCTAAAGGAAAGGAATTAACCAATTTCGTAATTTCATATAGGCTCTAGCAGTTCCAGTTCAAGTAGTTCCAGTTACAGGAGTTCAAGTTCTAACAGCTCAAGTTCCATTAGTTCAAGTTCAAGTAGCTCAAGTTCCAGTAGTACAAGTTCTAGCAGCTCAAGTTCAAGTCCCTCAAGTTCCAGTAGTTTAAGTTCAAGTAGCCCAAGCTCAAGTAGTTCAAGTTCCAGCGGCTCCAGTTCCATTAGTTCAAGTTCCAGCAGTTCGAGCTCAAGTAGGTCAAGATTCAGTCATTTTATTTTGCCTCAACTATTTCTTATGTGAAAAAATATTTTTTACTTTACACACTCCAGGTTAGGGATATGAACATTTTGCGTCGATAATCTTGTATGCGTGTAAATACTTTTTTTTTCAAATAGTATTGAACATGTATATATTTTGGGAATACAAGACAGATTTGACTGAATGTTTCTCATTATTCTTTGTCATATGACCCTATGAGGGATTTTGAAAGAGTGCAAATTGTTTACTGGGCGCTAAAGTGTGAGTGTGTTAGGTATGAGAGAAGTGTTTTGTTGACTTCTGACAAAAGATAGATTCAAGTATTTCAACCTTCTTCTAGTCAGTGATCCGATTTAGTTTCGGATACCTTTATTTAAAATAAAATTATTGTATCTAAAAATATATTTAAACATCAACACCGATTCATTTGTGAAAAAGTGTGACCTTTAATAAATCTTGGACGCGAATTTCTCGTACATACAGGACAAAATGTAAATTTGTATATGATTTTAGAAAAAATTAAAGAAGATTAACTTTATAATCAAAATCTTGTAGACTTTAGGTAGAATTTTGCTGAAATCTTCTTGTTTGATGTTTTACACGGGGGGGGGAAATTTGGAGGAATTGAAGTGGACACTACAGAGAACGGGTGACTAATTATCAAGGTACTGTACTCGTATACTGACAACACGTATCTGCCTTCCCGAACAAAGGCTTTTGATTCTTAATGTCAAGTAATAACTGTAAAATAGCATCACTTTAACTGATTTTCATATTTTTTAGGTTCTAGCAGTTCAAGATCTAGCAGTTCACGCTCATGCAGTTCCAGCTCTATCAGCTCAAGCTCTACCAGCTCAACCTTTATCAGCTCAAGCTCTATCAGCTCAAGCTCTAGCAGTTCAAGCTTTAGCGGTTCAAGCTCTAGTAGTTCCAGATCTAGCTTTTCCAGATCTAGCTCTTCCAGCTCTAGCAGTTCCTGCTCTAGCAGTTCAAGCTCTAGCAGCTCCACCTCTAACAGTTCCAGCTCTAGCTTTTCCAGCTCTAGCTGTTCCAGCTCTAGAAGCTTCAGTTCCAGCTCTAGCAGTTCAAGCTCTAGCAGTTCAAACTCTTGCAGTTCCAGCTCTAGCAGCTCAAGCTCTTGTAGTTCCATCTCAAGCAGTTCAAGCTTCAACAGTTCCAACTCAAGCAGTTCCAGCTCTAGCTGCTCAAGCTCTAGCAGTTCAAGCTCTAGCTATTCCAGCTCTAGCAGATTCAGTTCCAGCTCTAGCAGTTTCAGTTCCAGCTCTAGCAGCTTCAGTTCCAGCTCTAGCAGTTCAAGCTCTTGCAGTTCCAGCTCTAGCAGTTTAAGCTCTAGCAGTGTCAGCACAAGCTGCTCAAGATCTAGCAGTTCAACCTCTAGCAGTACAAGTTCTAGCAGTTTCAGTTCCAGCTCTAGCAGATCAAGCTCTAGTACTTCAAGTTCTTGCAGTTCAAACTTTTGCAGTTCAAGCTCTAGCAGTTTCAGCTCTAGCAGTTCAAGCTATAGAATTTCAGGCTCTAGTAGTTCCAGCTCTAGCAGCTCAAGTTCTAGCAGCTCCAGCTCTAACAACTCAATATCTAGCAGTTCAAGCTCTAGCAGTTCCTGCTCCAGCAGTTCAAGCACTAGCAGTTCCAGCTCTAGATGCTCAATCTCTAGCAGTTCAAGCACTAGCTGCTCAAGCTCTAGCAGTTCAAAGTCTAGCAGTTCAAGCTTCAGCAGTTCCAGCTTTAGTAGTTCCAACTCTATCAGTTGCAGCTCTAGCAGTTTAAGATCTAGCAGTTCAAGCTCTAGCAGTTCAAAGTCTAGCAGTTCAAGCTTCAGTAGTTTCAGCTTTAGTAGTTCCAACTCTATCAGTTCCAGCTCTAGCAGTTCAAGATCTAGCATTTCAAGCTCCAGTAGTTCCAGCTCTAGCAGTTCCAACTCTATCAGTTCCAGCTCTAGCAGTTCAAGCTATAGCAGTTCAAGCTCCAGCAGTTCCAGCTCTAGCAGTTCCAGCTCTAGCAGTTCCAGCTCTTTCTGCTCAATCTCTACCAGTTCAAGCAATAGCTGCTCAAGCTCTAGCAGTTCAAGCTCCAGCAGTTCCAGCTCTAGCAGTTCCAACTCTATCAGTTCCAGCTCTAGCAGTTCAAGCTCTTGCAGCTTCAGCTCTAGCAGTTCCAGCTCTAGGTGTTCCAGCTCTAGAAGTTTAAGCTCTAGGAGTTCCAGCTCTTCCTGCTCACGCTCGAGCAGTTCCAGCTCTAGCAGTTCCAGCTCAAGCAGTTCAGGCTCTTGCAGCTCCAGCTCTAGCAGGTCCAGCTCTAGCTCTTACAGCTCTAGGAGTTTACGCTCTACCAGTTCCAGCTCTAGCTGCTCAATCTCTAGCAGTTCCAGCTCTAGCAGTTCCAGCTCAAGCAGCTCAAGCTCTAGCATTTCCAGCTCTAGCCGCTCAATCTCTAGCAGTTCAAGCTCTAGCTGCTTATGCTCTAGCAGTTCAAGATCTAGCAGTTCAAGCTCTTGCAGTTCAAGCTTTATCAGTTCCAGCTCTAGCTGCTCAATTTCTAGCAGTTCAAGCTCTAGCTGCTCAAGCTGTAGCAGCTCCAGCTCTAGCAGTTCCACCTCAAGCAGCTCAAGCTCAAGATCTAGCCGTTCCAGCTCTAGCTGCTCAAGCTCTAGCAGTTCTAGATCTAGCAGTTCAAGCTATACCAGTTCCAGCTCTAGCAGTTCAAGCTTTACCAGTTCCAGCTCTAGCAGTTCAATCTCTAGCACTTCCAGCTCTAGCTGCTCAATCTCTAGCGGTTCAAGCTCTAGCTGCTCAAGCGCTAACAGTTCCAGCTCTAGCAGTTCCACCTCAAGCATTTCCAGCTCTAGCAGTTCCAGCTCTAGCAGTTCCAGCTCTAGCTGCTCAATCTCTAGCAGTTCAAGACCTAGCTGCTCAAGCTCTAGCAGTTCAAGCTCTAGCACTTCAATCTCTTGCAGTTCCAGCTCCAGCAGTTCCCGCTCTAGCAGTTCCAGCTCTAGCAGTTCCAGCTCTAGCAATTCCAGCTCCAGCAGTTCAAGCTCTAGCTATTCAAGCTATAGATGCTCAATCTCTAGCAGTTCAAGCACTAGCTACTTAAGCTCTAGCATTTCAAGCTCTAGCAGTTCAAGCTCTAGATGCTCAATCTCTAGCAGTTCAAGCACTAGCTGCTCCTGCTCTAGCAGTTCAAGCTCTAGCAGTTCAAGCTCCAGCAGGTCCAGCTCTAGCAGTTCCAACTCTATCAGTTCCAGCTCTAGCAGTTCAAGCTCTAGCTTTTCAAGCTCCAGCAGTTCCAGCTCTAGCAGTTCCAGCTCTAGCTACTCAATCTCTAGCAGTTCAAGCACTAGATGCTCAAGCTCTAGCTGTTCCAGCTCTATCAGTTCCACCTCTATCAGTTCCAGCTCTAGCAGTTCAAGCTCTAGCTGTTCAAGCTCCAGCAGTTCCAACTCTATCAGTTCCAGCTCTAGCAGTTCAAGCTCTTGCAGCTCCAGCTCTAGCTGTTCCAGCTCTAGCTGTTCCAGCTCTAGCTGTTCCAGCTCTAGGAGTTTAAGCTCTAGCAGTTCCAGCTCTTGCTGCTCAAGCTGGAGCAGTTCCAGATCTAGCAGTTCCAGCTCAAGCAGTTCAAGCTCTTGCAGCTCCTGTTCTAGCAGTTCCAGCTCTATCTCTTCCAGCTCTAGAAGTTTAAGCTCTAGCAGTTCCAGCTCTAGCTGCTCAATCTCTAGCAGTTCAAGCACTAGGTGCTCAAGCTCTAGGAGTTCAAGCTCTAGCAGTTCAAGCTCCAGCAGTTCCAGCTCTAGCAGTTCCAACTCTATCAGTTCCAGCTCAAGCAGTTCAAGCTCCAGCAGTTCCAGCTCTAGCAGTTCCAGCAGTCCTAGCTCTAGCTGCTCAATCTCTAGCAGTTCAAGCACTAGCTGCTCAAGCTCTAGCAGTTCCAGCTCTAGCAGTTCCAACTCTATCAGTTCCAGCTCTAGCAGTTCAAGCTCAAGCAGTTCAAGCTCCAGCAGTTCCAACTCTATCAGTTCCAGCTCTAGCAGTTCAAGCTCTTGCAGCTCCAGCTCAAGCAGTTCCAGCTCTAGCTGTTCCATCTCTAGGAGTTTAAGCTCAAGCAGTTTCAGCTCTTGCTGCTCAAGCTCGAGGAGTTCCATCTCAAGCAGTTCAAGCTCTTGCATCTCCAGCTCAAGCAGTTCCAGCTCTATCTCTTCCAGCTCTAGGAGTTTAAGCTCTAGCAGTTCCAGCTGTAGCTGCTCAATCTCAAGCTGTTCAAGCACTAGCTGCTTAAGCTCTAGCAGTTCAAGCTCCAGCAGTTCCAGCTCTAGCAGTTCCAACTCTATCAGTTCCAGGTCTAGCAGTTCACGCTCTTGCAGCTCCAGCTCTAGCAGTTCACGCTCTTGCAGCTCCAGCTCTAGCAGTTCCAGCTCTAGCTGTTCCAGCTCAAGGAGTTTAAGCTCTAGCAGTTCCAGTTCTAGCTGCTCGATCTCTTGCGGTTCAAGCTCTAGCTGCTCAAGCTCTAGCAGTTCAAGCTCTAGCAGTTCAAGCACTTGCAGTTCCAGCTCTAGCTCTTCCAGCTCTAGGAGTTTAAGCTCTAGCAGTTCCAGCTCTAGCTGCTCAATCTCTAGCAGTTCAAGCTCTAGCAGTTCAAGATCTAGCAGTTCCACCTCTCGGAGCTTAAGCTCTAGCAGATCCAGCTCTAGCAGTTCAAGCTCTCTCAGTTCAAGCTCTCCCGGTTCAAGCTCTAGCAGTTCCAGCTCTAGCACTTCAAGCTGTAGCAGCTCAAGCTGTAGCAGTTCCAGCTGTAGCAGTTCTAGCTCAAGTAGTACAAGCTCCACCAGTTCCAGCTCTAGCAGTTCCAGCTCTAGCAGTTCAAGCTCTCTCAGTTCAAGCTCCAGCAGTTCCAGCTCTAGCAGTTCCAGCTCTAGCAGATCCAGCTCTAGCAGTTCAAGCTCTAGCAGTTCGAGCTCCAGCAGTTCAAGCTCTAGCTGTTCCAGCTCAAGTATTTCAAGCTCCAGCAGTTCAAGCTTTGGCAGTTCCAGCTCTAGCAGCTCCAGCTCTAGCAGTTCAAGCTCAAGCAGTTCAAGCTCTAGCAGTTCAAGCTCCAGCAGTTCAAGCTCTAGCAGTTCCAGCTCTAGCAGTTCAAGCTCTAGCAGTTCCAGCTCAAGTATTTCAAGCTGTAGCAGTTCAAGCTCTAGCAGTTCAAGCTCCAGCAGTTCCAGCTCTAGCAGATCCAGCTGTAGCAGTTCCAGCTCTAGCAGTTCAATCCCTAGCAGCTCAAGAACTAGTCGTTCTAGCTCTAGCAGTTCAAGCTCTCTCAGTTCAAGCTCTCCCGGTTCCAGCTCCAGCAGTTGCAGCTCTTGCAGTTCCAGCTCTAGCAGTTCCACCTCTAGCAGTTCCACATCTAGCGGTTCAAGCTTTGTCAGTTCCAGCTCTAGCAGCTCCAGCTCTATTAGTTCAAGCTCAAGCAGTTCCAGCTCGAGCAGTTCAAGCTCATGCAGTTCAGGCTCTAGCAGTTCCAGCTCTTGCAGTTCCAGCTCTAGCAGTTCAAGCTCTCTCAGGACAAGCTCTCCCGGTTCAAGCTCTAACAATTCCAGCTGTAGCAGTTCCATCTCAAGTAGTTCAAGCTCCAGCAGTTCCAGCTCTAGTAGTTCAAGCTCTAGCATCCCCAGCTCTAGCAGCTCCAGCTCCAGCAGTTCAAGCTCTAGCAGTTCAAGCTCCAGCACTTCCAGCTCTAGCAGATCCAGCTCAAGCAGTTTCAGCTCTAGCAGTTCAAGCTCTAGCAGTTCAAGCTCAAGTAGTTTAAGCTCCAGCAGTTCCAGCTCTAGCAGTTCCAGCTCTAGCCGTTCTAGCTCTAGCAGTTCAAGCTCTCTCACTTCAAGCTCTCCCGGATCCAGCTCTAGCAGTTCAAGCTCTTGCAGTTCAAGCTCCAGCAGTTCAAGCTCTCTCAGTTCAAGCTCTCCCGGTTCGAGCTCTCGCAGGTCCAGCTCTTGCAGTTCAAGCTCCCTCAGTTCAAGCACTCCCGGTTCCAGCTCTAGCAGTCTCAGCTCTAGAAGTTCCACCTCTAGCAGTTCACGCTTTGGCAGTTCCAGCTCTAGCAGCTCCAGCTCTAGCATTTCAAGCTCTAGCAGTTCCAGCTCAAGCATTTCAAGCCCTAGCAGTTTCACCTCTAGCAGTTCATGCTCTAGCAGTTCCAGCAAAAGTAGTTCAAGCTCTAGCAGCTCAAGCTCTAGCAGTTCAAGCTCCAGCAGTTCCAGCTCTACCTGCTCAAGCTCTAGCTGTTGCAGCTGTAGCAGCTCAAGCTCCAGCAGTTCAAGCTCTAAGTGCTCAAGCTATGGCAGTTCAAGCTCTAGCATCTCCACCTCTAGCTGCTCAAGCTCTAGCAGTTCAATCTCCAGTAGTTCCAGCTCTAGCAGTTCCAGCTCTAGCAGTTCCAGCTCTAGCCGTTCCTGTTCTAGCAGTTCCAGCTTTTGCAGTTCCTGCTCTCGCAGTTCCAGCTCTAGCAGTTCAAGCTCTAGCTGTTTCGGTTCCAGCTCTAGCAGTTCCAGCTCTAGCAGTTCCAGCTCTAGCAGTTCAGGCTGTAGCTCTTCCAGCTTTAGCAGCTCCTGCTCTCGCTGTTCAAGCTGTAGCAGTTCATTCTCTGGCAGTTCCAGCTTTATCATTTCCAGGTGTAGCAGTTCCAGCTCTAGCTGTTCAAGCTCTAGCAGTTCAAAATCTAACAGTTCAAGCTCTAGCAGTTCAAGCTCTAGCAGTTCAAAATCTAGTATTTCCAGCTCTAGCAGTTCCAGCTCTCTCAGTTCAAGCTATCCCGGTTCAGGCTCTAGCAGTTCCAGCTGTAGCAGTTTCAGCTCAAGTAGTTCAAGCTCCAGCAGTTCCAGCTCTAGCAGTTCCAGCTCTAGCACTTTAGGTTTTAGTAGTTCAAGCTGTAGCGGTTCCAGCTGTAGTAGTTCCAGCTCAAGTAGTTCAAGCTCCAGCAGTTGCAGCTCAAGTAGTTCAAGCTCCAGCAGCTCCAGCTCTAGCAGTTCAAGCTCTAGCAGTTTAAGCTCCAGCAGATCCACCATTAGCAGCTCCAGCTCAAGCAGTTCTAGCTCTAGCACTTCAAGTTTTAGCAGTTCAAGCTGTAGCAGTTCCAGCTCTAGCAGTTCCAGCTCTAGCAGTTCAAGCTCTAGCAGTTCAAGCTCAAGTAGTTTATGCTCCAGCAGTTCCAGCTCTAGCAGATCCAGCTCTAGCAGTTCAAGCTCTAGCAGTTCAAAATCTAACAGTTCAAGCTCTAGCATTTCAAGCTCTTGGAGTTCAAGCTCCAGCAGTTTCAGCTCTAGCAGTACCAGCTCTAGCAGATCCAGCTCTAGCAGTTCAAGCTTTGACAGTTCCAGCTCTAGCAGCTCCAGCTCAAGCAGTTCAAGCTCAAGCAGTTTAAGCTCTAGCAGTTCAAGCGCCACCAGTTCAAGCTCTAGCAGTTCTAGCTGTAGCAGTTCCAG